GCTGATGTACTGTACTTCGGATACTTGGCTATATTGCCCCGTTCGTCCCTATAGGTTAGCTGATCGTGTAGAGCTCCTCCAAGTAGTCGTAGTATTTTAAACATTCCCGAAAAAATTTTTGTAGTACATATATCTTAGTTTTACTTGCTTCGAACTGTGTGCAGTCGTAGTTTTCGTCATGTATCTTCTTGCCATGAAATATTTTCTGCTGTAGTTAGTAAAAGATTTGCGCTCGGAAGGTATCGTTAATTTTGATCGGGCAGTGCTTTACGTTTATTCGTATTGCTTAGAGTATGTTCGAATAGGAATTGGTTGGTGAGTAAGGTTAGGTCCGTGCCCTGTTTATTATATGGTTTTGGCTTAATCCAATTGTGAAACCATGGAAAGTTGTGATTGTGATTTGTCCAGTTCTTCCGAATATGTTCAGCCGCTTCATTTTTAATTAAAATACGGAGGTCTTCGGCAGCTATTATGTCGGTTGAGTAGTTTTAGGCTTTCCGTTTGCAAGTTTGTCGACACGCTCATTTATATATATGCTTTAGTGTGCGGGTTCCCAGACGAACTTTATGAGCTTTTCCCACATATAATTGTGTCTTCCATATGTTTTCTTTGAGAGGCCCTCTTAATGCCCATAGAGCGGAGAGAGTTTAAAAAAAGTTTTCTTTGATTGCAGGGCGTTTGCCATTTGTTCGTGAAGCCATTGCTGCCAGGACAGCTCTGGAATCAGTATATACAATGACCGATTTGTGTGTTGGTTTTTTTTGCATAATTTACCGCCTGTAATATTACATAGTCTTCAGCAGTGAAAATTGGGGTGTAATGTATAATGCGCTTCTCTGTTATTGGTGATTCAATGATGGCAGTTGGTGATAAGTGGTTTTATAAGTTGTTTTAGATCTATCGGTAGCCAAAATTAGTTCGTCATCGTTTTGTTCTAACCATTCGTTGATGCAAGCACGCATCAGACCTCGAGATTCATCGTGAGACTGGAAGGGGAGGCCATGAATCTGTATAGATATCTTCCTGATGCGAGTGTTACCACCTGTGTAGCTGATACAAGATGAAATATCCACACGTTCCACGGGAAGTTTGTGCCAATGGGAGTCATACCAGCGTGCTCCCCGCATCCAAATAAACTTGGTGGAGAAAATGTTTAATTAAGCGGGCCATATTTATTGCGGTTTTTGATGTAGGTACCGAGTCGCGTTATAATTCTCTACTGGAATCATTAGTAGATGTTTGGTTTACCCGAAGCACGTAGAGTAACGAAATTGTTTGTGGTTTTGGGAAGGCCCATGCTTAATTAATTTAATGTACAGGTTTTGTGTTGCTTGCATAGTCTGGTATTGATGTTTCGTTAAATGAATAATACCAGGTATTACGTATTCAATGAAGATGCCAATCGTACTCTCGGCTATGGCTATTAGATCTTCAGGCAAATCTCCGTATCTTTTACTACAAAAAATTTTGAATATGTTTAGCAGTTTTTTGCCTCGGTACTTATATATTTCATGTGATCGGTCCAAGTCATCCTCGAGTTAATCCCGATTCCTAGAATTTTCATCTTCTGAACAGTGGGTATGCTTTGGTTGTGTAAATGACATACGAGAGGACTTTGTTTAATAGGTAGGATTGCCATAATTGCGCATTTTTGAATTTGGATACCGATCTCATTGTGATAAATCCATCCGTATAATTTATGAAGGATTCATCGACGCTCTGTTTAGTTTGAGTTGGCGTTGCTCCGCGGATTACGACAGTAATGCCATCAGCGTAAAAAATAGTTTTATGCTTTCTTCTTCCGGTTGGAAGATATCATTGACGAATATTGCAAACAGAAATGGGGATAATACACCGCCTCGAGGTACGCCCCTCTTTTGAATGATGGTTGCATTACACTACATTTCTAACGCCCTTCATAAACTATAGGAAAAACTAATATATTGCTTATTGCCAGCTTAAAGAGGCAAATCATTACTAAAGTGTACTTTTTTAATATATATATAACTGTAGCATTATATATATCTATATATAATGCTACAGTTTACCAGTATAATATTTCATAATATATTTTTTACGTGCAATAATAATTGTTTTAACTAGATTTTTGAAATTTTATTTTTTTGTGTTATATAAATCTTTTTGAAACAAACGAATTTTTATTTTGCTCACAAATTTTGATATTACAGAAAATTTAAAAATTTGTTGGATAAGAATATAAATTAAAATATGTATATTAGTACATTTTCATACCCGATTACATATTTTAATTTTAGGTTCCAATAAGTTTTTATTTTTCATTGACCACAATATTCTTATTTTAGTAAAACAACGTAAACGGATTAAAATATTTCAGGAGATTCGTCTAGCTCTAGCGGATCAACTCTTTGGACAAAGTCGAACCATTGAGTTTATCTGTAAATATAAGTCATAATTTACACTTAGATAATTTTTCACGTAAATTCCATCTTAGCATAATTTTAAATTCATATTTCTGGTTAATTAAACAAATCAAATTCCTTTTTACGTCTTTCGGAAACGTAAGAAACGATAAATGATGCGTTTTCTTTTTTAAAATAATTTTTACAAAAAACAGCGGAACGACAAAGATTTCCCTCATCGCCATATTAAACGTAAACTCTGTGTTCTCTCGCAGCGATAGGAAAGAGTTAGCAAACCTGGCGAAGTGGCGCATCCGTATCCTAACCCATAATTAATACGTCGTTGGGTAAATTATCTAAATATGTCACGCACCAAGGGCAGTGATCGAAAACCTACCCGTACGATGCAAATCATAAACATATTTCGTGATTTTTGTGCACTTAGGAAATTATTTTCGTATCTAACAATTATTCGCGATGCAGTTTATTCTGGCACCACAATCTTGTATTTGAAGATTTCCCCCCCCCCGAAAAGTATCCTCCTTTCGGTTAATTCCTCGGATCTTTTAGCAGTTCCAGAAACGTAGATAAACGTACTTAGTAAATCTTCTAGAAATCGCAGTGCAGAACTCTAAAATGAAAAATGCAACATAATAAAATTATAAACGTTACTTCGTCTCGAAGGAATTTAATAAAGGAGCGCTGTTATTCATACGGGGGAAACCATCTTACGCGAGACTCGAAAATATATTGTTCTCGAAACGTCTCGTTCTTACGAATGTTGTATTGTTTAAATCACGCATTTTCGTAAATTTACAACTTGGTATTGTTAGTTTTTAATAACATTTATTTTAGAAATAATGAAAAATTCTTCTGTCATACTGAATGTTTACGGGCACTGGCATTGGATCAAACTAGCCGATTTACATAGAACGTAGTGGACAGCATTTACAATGTTAAGAATGTATTATTTTATAATAGATACGTCGATAACTGTTTAATAATTTACAATTCTCTTTTAACTAGCCCAGAAATTATACAAGGATTCGAACGAGTATTCAGATATCCCGTATAATTTATATCCGAATATTCAATTCGATATAGAGACGGAAGAAAATAAATTAATTTTTAAACTCGTCTATTCTTAGAAAAGTTAATTCACTGATTTTTAATAAATACACGAAAGCCTGTAAAGTTATGAAAATTATTAACTATTATTCCGAAGCTCCGATTTATACGAAAAAGAATATTTTTAACGCGTATGCGAGAAAAATTAAAATAACTAGCAACTGCCAGAAACAAACCGAACAAATAATATAAATATTCAATATCTATAATTTAAATGGTTACAATTAAGTAACATTTGGCCGAAAACTTTACAATAAACCAATCACTACTGAAAAACCGATTCGTATTAAAGTTCCATATATAAACGGCTTATTTGAAAGACTGAAAACATAATTTTGAAATTTTTGGTTTATTTTGGCACCGAATCTACGCAACACGAGAATTAAACAGTTAATAATTTTGATAATACAAAAAATAAGAAAGGTTTACATTTGTTAGGCGATAATGTATTATATAGATTCGCATTTCTATAGCAACCGCCACTATCGCCAACGAAATCGAGAGTTCACACACACCAGCCGTTTCGCGTAAGTATGGGTCAAAATGTTCAATGAAAGTAAGAATAACGACTTTTTCCGTAATAAGGCAAATTGGATGTAAATGAATTACATTTGATTCCAGAAATTTTAAATCAAAATTAATTTATTATAATTTTTTCTCGTTTAAATCTTTCGTCTTTAGGAACGCGCCCTAAGATGACCTCCCCTTTTCGGGACGACAACGTCCACAGACATCGGGCGCGTTCGTTAATAGCGTCTCCGCTACTACCGGAGAGCGCCGCTGTTTGTAGGGACATTTAGGAAGACGGTAAAATAAGACGGCGGCGCCCGTGTTATCGATTCTAAAATACGCGATTTTAGTGACAAAAGCTAGGAGGGTACCAATTGTAAAATTTAATTTAAAAAGTGGAATGTCTTGCCGACGGAGCATTCGAAGTAGCCACCGAAAAAATTAGAATGCCGGCTACCGTTCGAAAAACTTCGAGATGACACATCACCGAACGTATTAACGCGCGTTTTTACAACTTCTAAAGCAACACGGCGTCCTCCGTGGCTCGGATAGTTTCGTTTCGTAAAAAATGAACACCGAAACGAAACTATCCGAGCCACGGAGAACGCCGTGTTGCTTTCCACCCTAAGGTGCTATTACCGGCCGTTTCTGCCGTCCTACGGCGCACGCTTCCGCCGGAATACACGAACGCGTTCTGCAGGAATTTTTAAACCGATTTCGCTGGCGCGGGGTTACCCGGACGAATAAAAGAGCGTACCCGTTATTTCCGTTCGGAATTCTTTTACTTTCGTAACGATTTCTGCAAAATCATTTCTACTTCGTTTCGCTTTCGTGTAGAGCCTTACCGAAGAGTATTCTCGGTCCGACATTCCACAGACGATCGATACCGGATTCGTCCGCATCCACCCTCGACCGCCACACATCTTACAGGGTCCCCGAAATGGAAAAGAGATAAACTACGACAAAGAATTTGAAACGATGTTTTCGGTGTAAAAATAAGCTTTATTGTGTAAAGAGAAGCCCGAAAAACCCAATTTGATACAAAAGTAAAAAGGGTAAACGAGAGAACAAAGTACAAGAGAATACCGCATATAAAATAAATGCCGACAAAATAATACCTTCCAGTCTACGACCCCACCCGCCTGGCGCCATTTCCTTTTTGCAGCCCGAGGACGAGGCAAATGCGGGTTCGATTTCCGACGCGGAATTGCCGGACGGAATTCACCACTTTGTCGGAAAGACGAACAGAAATCGTCGTCGGAAGGACGAAAGCGGCAGTGGCCGACGACGGTGGGAGAATCTCCCCGGGTGGAAGAGGCCGGGCTAGCAGCCCGGGCCAACGGAGTCCACTTCCAACAGGCGCAGCAGGCCGGGATCGCGCAGACAGGCCGACACGAATTCTTCTCGACTCAACTTTCCGTCTCGGTCGGAATCCATCTTGCGGAAAATAGCGGCGGTCCTCTCCTCCGGCGTCTGTCCATCCGGCGTCTCTCCGGCCATCTCGTACACGGACTAAAAAAAATCATCCTTACAATTAGCCTCTCCGAAGACCTTCCCGCGACGACCGGCCGACACGAAACTGGCTGGCCTCGTGTGGCTTCGCACGCTAGAACTTAACGGTTCCGATTCACGTTACAACGGATTCCACACAGGCAACAACGGCAAGACTGAGTCGACGAGTCGAGTCCAGCGCGACTTTTGCTACAACTGCCAGCAGAAAATCGAACAGAAAAATCGGTCCGACGTTTGATGGCGTCGCGATATTAACGGTAAAATTTTAATCGAAATTGCCACTGGACGCGAATCTCGATCACCTCCGACAGCTTTTGACTCGCGTGACCATTTAAACGCACTGCGTTTCCTTAAATTTGTTATCGCGATATTCTAATTTATCCTTCTACAAGATATAATCTTTCGTATTCTCCTTTTACGCTTATCGCCATTTCGAAATTTTGAAGAGGAATTATTTAAAAATCCAGCAACGAGTCGCTTAAATTTCCCCGGCAGCGTTTGGTGACGCCGTCTGTCGTTCTATTCTATTAAAAACCACTTTTTATATTTTTAAAATTAGAAAAAAGCTTAATTCTGCGCGAAGGAATCGGTTTTACAAGAAAAAAAAACTTAAGAGCGCGCATGTTTATATAGACCTTCTAAACCAGTGGTTCTCAACCGGGGGTACGAGCGTAAATCGAAGGGGGGTACATCTAACTTTCATTATAAAATGGCATATGTTAATCAGTTTGCTGTAAATTATTAACACAAAAAACGATAAAAACTTTCTTCAAAATATCCCAGTGTGAACACCAATTTCCCTTTTAACAGTCTAAACAACTTGTTTATCTACTCGATTTGCCCGTGTATTTATGCTATTAGTGCCGAGTGAGCCTGTAGTCTAGTAAAGTTACGGTTTAACCGAGCATTAATTATTTCTAGATAAGATTGGAGCTTTTTATGTTTTTACTGGACTACTGGTATTAGGAATAATGAGGCCTGAATCGTATCCCCACCATGCAATGCGTGTCACTCGCATGCGCGCATTACTTGATATTTAGCAAATTTATACGTTACGTTCGTTACAAAAATTGAAAGATTCGTGTATTGTTATGCACGTTATAAATTCGCAGTCATTACTTTCGAGGTCGGTACACAATTATAATCTCTATTTAACAACGTGGGAACCAAATTTTGAAAAAATTGCCGAAGATTTATCATAACAAATATCCCATTAAATTTTGTTAGAAATTATTTTAGAATAATTTAAATTTTCTNCGATTTGTTTAATTTGTCGATATCTAGTAATACGCGGTACGTTTGTAAAAAATAATCAATTATTATCCGAAACCATTCTGTTTTAACGCGAAAATAATGATTATACGATATGGACACGAAACTCGCCATTCGATCCAGAGATTAAGCGATGTTCGAATAATTTTCGTTGTATAATGACTACGATTTAAATGTCTGGAAAATATGAATTTTTCGCCACGAGAGAGTCATTACGCACGGGCTGGAATTTTGCCAGAAATTGTCGTTTTAGTTCGTCGAAACGCCGCTAGGTTTGCTTGTAAACGGTTTAGAACAGTGGTTCTCAACCTTTTTTGTGGATGTACCCCAATAGCCCATTAGTTGTTTCTCGAGTACCCCTTATATTTTTGTATGTAAATTTTATAATTATTGCCTCTAAAGCAATAATTATAAAATTTACATACAAAAATATAAGGGGTACTCGAGAAACAACTAATGGGCTATTGGGGTACATCCACAAAAAAGGTTGAGAACCACTGTTCTAAACCGTTTACAAGCAAACCTAGCGGCGTTTCGACGAACTAAAACGACAATTTCTGGCAAAATTCCAGCCCGTGCGTAATGACTCTCTCGTGGCGAAAAATTCATATTTTCCAGACATTTAAATCGTAGTCATTATACAACGAAAATTATTCGAACATCGCTTAATCTCTGGATCGAATGGCGAGTTTCGTGTCCATATCGTATAATCATTATTTTCGCGTTAAAACAGAATGGTTTCGGATAATAATTGATTATTTTTTACAAACGTACCGCGTATTACTAGATATCGACAAATTAAACAAATCGTTTCCAGAGAATAACCACAAATCGCGGGCGTAACTTAATCACTTTTAAGCTACTCCGGGGGATATTTCGAAATCGATTTCCGAACGCGGTTTTAAGTTACCGAGGGGTAGAACTAAGCGGGATAATCCGAAATCGCTACGCCGGTCTTACTCCGAGATGGCGTCGTCCCCTATTCCGCTAGTGGCGAAAACCGCTGGACTACGCCTAGCGATTACGCGGAAAACCGATGGCCGGCCTTCGGTTTTTTCGATTTTAAAGGAAAGAAAGAGTAGCTAACCCGAAGGACTTTCTTCATCTCTTCGGCCCGGACGAACCCGTCTCCGTCCACGTCGTACACCCGGAAGGCCCAGCGCAGGCGCTCTTCCGCCGAGCCGCCGGAAGTGACGGCCACGGCCAACAGAAACTCCTTGAAGTCGACGAATCCGTTTCCGTCGGCGTCGAAGGTCCTGAAGACGTGGTGGCAGAATCGGCGAGGGTCTCCCCTATCGAACAGCGACTTGTACATCTCGGCGAACTTCTCTTCGCTCACCTTTCCGCTCGGACAGTCTTCCTACGCCACAAAGAAACGGTCAAACGCGTTTTATTCTGTTCGCCCCCCAAAAAAACGCTGGAAAGAAGAATTTTACTCACTTTAAATCCGCGGTACCACTCCCGGATGGTTTCTTCTTGGTAATTCGTGCGACTCTTGAGAAATTCCACGTCTTCGTCGGTTAGATCGGCGGTTCTGCTGCCCGAGACGCCCATGGCGGACGCACCTGTCTCTAACGATAAAACATCTGGTCGTCATTCTCCCTCTACGCTCCGTTTTATTTCTAATTACCGCAATCGTCGCTTTAACCGCCGTCCCGTAGACGGATAATCGACTACGTAAAATTACCAGGAAAAAAATTGCATAAATTAGCTAGGCGACGCGTCCGAAGATCCTTTCTCTACCGACCACTCGACATTAAACTTCTAAAAGAAAATACTTTCGGAATCCGTCCGTCTCTGACAAGTTTTTCGACGAAATTTCGCTTTAGCGTAATTCGCCGGTCTAGACGAGGGTGACCCGCGTAACGACGACGAAGAGAAACGCGAAACATCGGACAACAAGTTGCCTAAGTTTCCCGGCGAAATATATATTAGCGAAGTTTAAATTACGTGGCTGACAAGTTTTATATAAAAATTTTTTTAAATGCAAAATCTTCGTTAAGTAGACCCTCCGGAGATGCAACGCGCGACGCGTCTTTATCTCCCCATCCCTCGACCTTTAACCCCAAAATTTAATAGCATCTGTGTCCCCTTATATACAAGTTATCAAATTTCATTTCTTTACCCCGTCTCGAGATATTAGACAACAAATAGACGCAACACACATCCGTGGAATTTTTTTTTCCGTGTTTTGAATTCGGGAGATCCCGAGACGCGAAGACGGTCAAATTTGACCCTCCGGATTTCTGCAACGATTCTTAAGGGTGCGTCTACGCGGACGCAAATCTAATAGCCAGAGAAATAGTTCTCGCGATAAAATCAAACCGTCGGATATTCGCGACAACCAGAAATTCGCTCCGGCCAGCGATATTTCTCGCTCGCACACGTTTTCCTTCGCGAGAACTATATCGCGACTAAATTCGCGTCCGCATCCTAATACTTTCCCTCGTCGCGTAAACATAAAAGCCGGGAAAGTAAAACGAAAACGATGGCGATTATTTACATAATGGACTTTTCAATTATTTGAATTTTCATTTTCTCCCTTTTCCAACATTTTTTACCTATGTATTTACGTGAAATTCGCTAATAAATAAATCGATCGGATCCCCACTGGCCCGTACCCGACCTTTCGAAATAGCGCGAAAACTTCGGACGAATTTTCGTTCGTCCGAAGTTCGCTACCATCGTGCCCCGTGCATAAAACGCTCGTAGCCGTTACCGGCTTTACGAGTTACAAATTACCAGCAAAATATGCCGATTGAGTTACGAGCTACTAGTCGCCAGCAATTTCCATGACGTAAAGTTACTTATAATCGGCAACGAGCCGCGAGTAGGTTACTCGTAATTTTTATGCAACGGGACACAGGACTTCGTATTAGTACAGTACTAACTTCTTTGGATCGGTTTGGTTTGATTTACTCGGTTACTGGCAGAACTTTCGGGGGGAAACGACACACGGTCTTTAAAAGTAGGAATGAATCATCGAGGTAATTGGCTGCAGCTGTCACTGCCCGTATTTCATCAGAAGGGCGTGATTGCATTATATAGAGTCGATATAAAAATGGCCCTACGAAGCTGGGAGAATATTTTTTTATTCCGAGACTAAATCACAATATGGCGATTAATAATCTTAAATTAATCCGATGCTTTGAATTAAATCCGAGCTAAAAGTAGATCGAAAATGATTACGAATAAATTTTCTAACAAGGGTGGTTCACCTATTTTGATCAAAATAGCGCATCCCCAACGACTGACACGTACCGAGAAGACGCGATACTGAAAATCAAGGGGGAAATTGAGGTTTGAAAATTGCAAATCATCTAAAATCTACACCGTCCGTAGTCTGGTAGATGCGGGGCCCGTCGGTTTAATATTCGCGAAGTTGGTGTTTCGAATCCCGTGGTATCGATGCGATATTTTTCCCTAAAACTATAATTTTCAGTTTATTCTTGGTACTTTTAAGTTTATTATATTGTCCGAGAGGAGAACAAATTTATTTTTAGATAACTACGAAAAATGCGCAATAAATAGAGTAATAAAACAATAAAATCCATCTGTTTCGAGTAACGAGTCAATGACAAAAGCAATTCGCATACGTTACCTAACAATATTTATTTAAAAATAAAAGATTTTATATACATTATATTTGTGTACACTAAGTAGTTTACTTATTCTGCCAACAAAGTCACTGTTTAACCTAAATGTTTATAATTGCATCTTCGCTAAAGAACGAAAAGATGGCTTCGATATCTCGCGCTAACATCGATAGAGTAGAAATGTGTTCTGCAGAAGAATCGCCGCACGACAATATTACAAAATTTACATATTGCGACAGCATCCTTTAAAGTCAAGACCTAATTGCAGCCGATTGTTCATCAATTTCAGAAGTTGTGAAGGCGGTAGAAAAAAAAAACATTAAGCGCTCTTATATTTTCCAATGTGATACGATACGAATGATACTCGTCGGCATTAGTCGATGATGAAGTGTTTATAAACATTAACCAAGTTTGTTTTCCACTTACATATAAATATTCTTCTTGTTGAAAAAATCTGCGTTTATTCAATGCGCACACTGCAGAAATGTTTACCGTTTCACACGCTTCTACAATTATCATTCTCAAAACTGTGTTCCCGGAAAGCAAACAATTGAGTAGCGTTAGTAAAAATGTCTTTTTTATTAACATATCTGATCTTTAATAACGATAATCCTGTTCCCAAATAAATTATAAATAAATGTTAGTAATAGTCAAAAATAATTTTTAAATACATATAATAAATTTAAAATACCAAGAACGTAAAAATTAGTTTTGTATTTAAAAAAAAATGACATTAAAACAAACGAGATTTGAAACACGAACCTCGCGATTACGAAACCGACCAGCACCCCCACCGAAACAGAACGGTCCTCGTAGTTAATTTCGTAGATACGTATATTTGAGATCACAATAAATATGCGTAAACCAGTTTTATGACAGATGCAGTATATACGAGTAATGCCACGAAATGCTTCCGTAAAACGGAAGGCAGTGACGTCAGTGTCACGCGACTTCTGAAGCCAATACTGCGACGATTCATTCCTACTACAGTACTAAACGCGTGTAAACCGATCCCTATTTAGGTGCTAATCCCTCAGCCAGAGCGACGCCGCACCCGCAAGTATCGAATAGAGCAGTGATTTTCGACAAGTGTGCCGCGAAAATTTTTGCAATTATTAAATAAATTATTTTCTAAAGAAGCCAAAAGAATAATAAGTGCACGCGTCAAAGTTAAAATCTGTAAATTGATTATACGACTTTTTCTTTGTTATAATCGCGGCGTAAGAATACGGGTGATACCACTCCTATTGTTTGACTCGAAAACTTCATTATATTTTATAAGGAAAGGCGTGTTTTAAACCTTTTCAGGGTGTAAAAATATCAGTTTAATGAAGATTTTTAAAATTATACACATATTCTATTACTTTTAGATTATTTTATGTAAATATCGCTAATTTTATTGAAATTAACACAAATTAGGGTTCAATTAGCAATTGCTGCTAGTGGTAATCAATGGTAAAAGTTGGACTTTACATCGTCACATCTTGTGGATACTCGTGTAAGCTCAACTACTTCGCCAACGTCCTCGAGAGTGGTATCACCTGTATTCTTACATCACGGTTAAATAAATAAACGTATACATAATGTAGTAAAATTATATATTCATAAGCAAAATTATGTGCGCGTAACTTCGAGTTATTTCATTAAAAATGAAATTTTCTCTAAATCAAAATTATATGTATAATTGCCCCTATTTATTTCAAATTAGTTTAACTTAGAAATAGCGGGACATCGGGCATGTTTCTAAAGACAATTATCGCGCCACTTTTAAATACAAAGTAAGACTCGATATTAATTGCATTTCTTACGTAAACGAAAATTATTCATTTTAACAACTGTTGTAGTTCCTTAAAATAAAAGCGCGTTAACGATACTGTTTTATTTAATTCAAAAAAAAATATACACAAAAAGAATGAGGTTTAGTGGCAAGTAATACGGCGATAGAATGTTTACAAACGTAACTTTAAATCACGTGATTTGTTAAGTTCAATTGTAACATGTGTCAAATGTGTGGATGTCAGCAAGTGTTGATGGACAGTCCACAGCTTTGTCACACGTGTCAGGTGGGTAAAAGGTAATAGTCTTCCCAAGAATGTGGGAGAGATTGTACAGCCTAGAGAGGGAAAACTTGTGCGCTTCCATTTGAGTGTGTCGAATCAGTGTGTGTGTGGAGGTAGTGCTGAGAAGAGTGCTGACCGGGAAGCTAACCAGAGTGGGTAGCTGTGTGGATGGTCAAGAATCAGTATTGTAATTACCAATAATTGTTGGGTGCCGGAGTGTTGCTCGATTGCGGAGTGCCAGAGAGTCGCTCGCTGATTTGGAGACATTAAAGTGTAATTGTGTTGTTATTGTTAAAAATGAATTGTGTGCTGTGTTCTTTTAGACCGCGTAAACGGGAACATTTCATATCACGATCACAACATGATTTTTCCGCGAAAATTTAATTATAAATTCGAGTGTGCCGTGAGATAAAAAAAAAAAGGTTAAAAAACACTAGAATACAGCGACGTTTCTTACCGCACGATCGTTATTATTAGACTATTTTCGCATTAAAATAAAACAATTGATTCTAGTAATATTTACTTATTTTTCCAAATATATATTATCGTAAATAATTACCGTTTCAAAACGAATGACATTTCTTTTACCTCGTACCGGCTATTTTATGAAAAATTAAGTGCCTACCGCATTTCAGCCAGAGCCAGTCGGCACGCGGGGGAAATGGAAAACGAAGGATAGTTTGGAACTTTCACTTCCCGTCTGACCGGCGTCGTCTTTAAATACAAACGAAGCACCAATCGGCAATTCCCGATAATAACAGTCGTAAGACCAATTGGAGAAAAGTAAATGAGCTGGCAATTAGTACTTACGGACGGCTTTGGAAATTAGAAAGAGAAAACGGAAATGATACGGTCCGGACCGGGATCTCGACTTTAATCTATTTATTGACGGCCGGACGGATGGTCGAGCGATTA